TTGTCAAGCAAAACTGAAGTTGAGAAATGGATCGACAATAAGAAGGAAGAGGAGGATGTGGAGGGTATGCAAAGTACATGTTTAGATGACTAGCATTTGAGTAGCTTTTAGTGAATTCAAGCAGAAAAATATATACAAAACAATAAACCGAAATCACAACAAAAGCAAGCACACACCCACACTCGAGCGACTGGAAAGAAGAATATTGGCAAACAAAATGTTCATAAGCCATAAAGCATTTGCCTCGACGCAGATGCTAAAAAAGGAGAAAGAACAGCACAAATAAAAATGAATATTTCCATGCTAAAATTTGATGAGTAGTTGTTATATTTTATGTAACAAGAAAAGCAGCAATATTAACAAAAAACAAGTAAGAAGACTCTAGTCGAGACTGCTCGACTAGGAGATACCCTGAACCCTCTAAGCTGATACTCTAATCATTCTGCACTTCTTTTATGCACACATACATACACATGCATCCACACGCACGCATAAGCCTGCGCTCTGCTAACTGCGCAGTAAGCAGCGACTGCGCTTGGGCTGCGCTGCAGTGTGGGCAATATTATGAGAATTTATTTGTTAAATAATTTCTTTTGTAGACATACGATCTTAATGAAACTTTTAGAGCGTAATCATATGGTGAATATGTGTGTATATTCCAAAGCCCAAGTCTCTAGTATTTGAAATACGCTTTTTACAAAAGTGAGGGTGAGGGGGTGAATTTAAGGGTGGGGGGTAAATTTTAACAAAAACCGAAATTGTATAAATTGCATATAAGCATACATTAAAAATTTGGAGACTCTAGCAATAAGGGTGTAGAAGATATAATTTTATAACTGGTTTTCGATAAGGTTTTTTATCGATAAAAAAAGATCGGGATGAGTTATCGATTTTTAATGATAAACTTGATATGCGCGCTGTAATTACGGACATTTTAAAAAAAATTTGANACGGACGGACGGACGGACGGACGGACGGACGGACGGACGGGCGGACGGACGGACGGACGGACGGACGGACAGACGGACAGGGCTATATCGACTCAGCTCGTCGCGCTGATCAAGAATATATATACTTTGTGGGGTCTGCCACGCCTCCTTCTGCCCGTTACATACTTTTTCACAAAACCATTATACCCTGATTTCCCATTTTCAATGGGTTCAGGGTATAAAAAAAAAAGCTGGCAAAAATAAAGAAGGAAAAGCACAATCATATCCATTTATACGCTCTGTCACAATCATTTTGCATGCGCCAATAAGCCTGAGCAGTATCTCAGGACTGGGACACGTATTTGTCTCGCTATTCCTTTACAATCGATGCCAGCAAATCCTTCAATTTCGCAAAGCGCAGTCCAATATCCAAATGTCGAGTAGGCAAGAAAACACAATAAGAAATATATATATAAGAATTGAAAATGAAACAAATGTGTGTGTGTACAAATAAAATGGAAAGTCGAAAGCAAAGCTATCGAAACAGATTTGTTTATATGCAGCTTTAGATATACATACATTTATGTTTATTCAACGAGAACTTTTCATATGCAAATAGTCAGCTTATTAACTCAAAATGGTGAAGTGGCTAAACGTAAAATGAGAAGCTCTCAGAAATTGTTATACCCCGCTATGTCGACGACAATGCCCACATGTATAAAATATAAATAAAAGGTAATGCCAACCACTTTATTTTCTGACAAACACAGTTGACAAGATTGTCACCATAATTTATTAGCAACTCTTCCTAATGATGATTTCGTTCAGCTCAAGCAGCTGTTCCAATAAAACTTTTTCAATACAGAGCCCGAAAATACAACGCAAACCAGAGACAAGTGCAGGCGAACAGACCTTTTATATATATACATGCATGAGAGCAAATAATGTGCAACAACAAAGTGCTGCAAAAAACTTAAAAAAAAAACGCATTCATACCCGTTAGAGTAGGAGCAAGATATGCGGTGGCAGCTTAAAGACTGGAAGACTATGTTGACAAACTCATTGACAAACTCGTCCAGTGCTACACGCAATGATTAATGAAAGAAGCTGACGCTGAAAGCCGAACAGACATCTCACAATTTTTGAATTATAGCCGGAACTGCAACTGGCTATTTAATGTGACAATGTGATAAGTCATCAACGAAATGTCGGACAGGTCGGGTGACTGCTACCGCCCATGCTGCTGTATCAGACAGCTGCCATTAATTTTGGCTATTGACCACAAGCTAAGCCCAGGCAACTGGCAGCTGGCAATGATTTCATGACAATTTAACGCAACTGTGCAAACTTTTTCATATGCGAACAACAATGAGCGCCCCATGGCCATGACAATATTATAAAGAGAGAAGCAACTCGAGTAAGGACTATATGTTTGGGCGGGACCAAACGTAATCGATGCGGCTAACATTAGAAAGTTTTCCTGTGTGCTCTGCTCCAGCACAACAGCCAGCAGCAGCAGCATTTCGAGTGCGTCTTTTTCTTGGTCTCGTAGCCCCTTTTTTATCGTCTGTGTTGGTTTATCATCTCCTGTTAACTTTTCGAAATTTTATTGCTGAAATCTTGTCTGTCGTTGTCAAAGGAGTTGCTGCAAGGGAACACGTTCTATATATGGCAATATATATATATATATCAAGGATTCTTGAGCTGAGACTAGACATTGTAAGAGCAGCTATTGTTGCACGAAATACGTCGCGGAAGCGTAACCGTTTATACATTTGTCTCTTTATATTTATCGCAGAGCCAAGTGAGTATATTGATTTTGTGCAATATCCGACTGTTGTGTGTCTCTCCGATCGTCAGATTGTCTGCCTAGATGAATAACCGCAAGCATCTCAGCGAAGTGGACCTTGAAAATTATAATATAATACATACTCGAAGGTACCCAAAATTTGTAGTGTTATATTTTTAAAATACTTCGATAAAACATATACATATATATATGCTCAAGAGGCTAAACACTGCTACTGAGTCAGAGTCTTGGACTTCATACTGTCCCTTGATTTGTTTTGCATTCTCAGCACGTAAAACGATTTGATTTCATTTTCCAGATTCAGCAGCCATTCGTCTGTTTTTTGCAATGAGATAGCAACATTTGGGAAAACGTTGCGAATACGGAATATATACTTGAACCACTGAGCTAATCACTGGGAATATCCGTCACTTGAAAAAAAACCAAAGCCGTCATGATTGTTAGCAAAACAATCAATTATCGTATGATCAACATTTTTATACCCTGAACCCATTGAAAATGGGAAATCAGGGTATAATGGTTTTGTGAAAAGTATGWRACARGCADAAGRARTCATCRCAGACCCCATAAAGTATATATATTCTTGATCAGGACGACGAGCTGGGTCGATATAGCCCTGTCCGCCTGTCCGTCCGTATGAGCAAAAGGATCTCAGAAGATATAAGAGCTAGAGAGCTGAAATTTGGCATGCATACTCGTGTATACCATAGGCAGTACAAGTTTGCTTTATTTTTTCGATAAGTCATCCGATAGCTTTTTATCGAGAATAATCGAAAAAACTACTTGGTTTTTTCAGCCTAGTTTGNCGCTGATCAAGAATATATATACTTTGTGGGGTCTGCCACGCCTCCTTCTGCCCGTTACATACTTTTTCACAAAACCATTATACCCTGATTTCCCATTTTCAATGGGTTCGGGGTATAACAAGTATGAAAGCTCTAGTCGAGACTACTCGACTACGAGATCTCATAAACCCTTCGCACGCACGCATAAACACGCATTGGCAGCAGTTATGGCTTACTATGGGAACCTTATTGTTTAATAATGAAACTTTCAGATTATGATTATAACATAGATTTGCATGTATTTGCCAAAGAACAAGTCTCTAGTAGTTGAAATATGCCTTTTACAAAGGTGAGGGTGAAGGGGTGAATATAGGGTGGGGGGTAAATTTTAACAAAACCCGAAATTGTATAAAATGCATCTATATATATTTAAAATTTGGACACTCTAGCTTTAAAGCGCCCTGATCAAGAATATATACACTTTGGGGGGTCTGCTACGCCTTCTTCTGCCTGTTACATACATTTCAAGAAAACCATTATACCATGATTTCTCATTTTCAATGGGTTCGGGGTATAAAAAATAAGTAAGAAAGCTCGAGCCAAAACTGCTCGACTACGAGTTCTTTGGGGACGGACAGACAGACGGACAGGACTAAAACGCCACAGTTCGTCGCCCTGATCAAGAATATATATACTTTATGGGGTCTGCCACGCCTCCTTCTGTATGTTACATACATTTCAACAAAACAAATATACCCTAATTTCCCATTTTCAATAGATTCACTAAGATTCAAATAATAGAGACTTGTGGTTTGGCAAATGCACGCATTTTAATGATACAATCACTATCTAAAAGTTTTATGAAGAAAGTCCATAGAAAGTCTATAGTTCATTTCAATAGGTTCACTAAGATTCAAATAGTAGAGACTTATGCTTTGGCAAATGCTCGCATTTTAATGAACTATCTAAAAGTTTGAAGAAGTTTGAAGAAAGTTCATCCACTAAAAAAAAATTATTAAACAATTAATTTCCCATAGTAAGTCGACACTGCAGCCGATCCGTGTATATCATATCAGTTCCTCGAAAGGTTTAGGGGATCTCGTAGTCGAGCAGTCTCGACTAGAGCTTTCTTACTTGCTTTTTAAAAACTTTATTTATTATTTTATATTTTAATTCTCATAAGCGTAAATCAGTCAGATAGTAATCTTTTCGTTCTGTCGCCGTCATAAATAGAAATCAGTTAGAACCTTTTAAGTGTCGCACGTTTACCGTCCGGCCCACAGCTCGAGTGGTGTCAATTTTTGTGGCGTGTGATTTGTAATCTAAGTAACTTAATAGTTAAGAATAGATATGACGGTGTCCATAGGCAAATCTTAAGAGTTTCATGGATCTTGAGCAAAATACAATCGCAAACGCTCTTTACCATTTGATAACAAGCTGGCTATAAAATGCGAAGAATGGCCAGTGAAAATTCATTCGTTCGACAACAATCATTATGAAAGTGTTTGTAGTTCTTGCCTTGGCTATTGCTGCCGCCTCTGCTGGTGTTGTACCACAAGGTGCACCCATGCATCCCCGTGATTTGCCCAATGTGCCCTCAATTGAGGGACGCATAACCAACGGCAAGACTGCCAATGAGGGCCAGTTCCCCTACCAGGTGGGACTTAGCTTCTCTAGCTCTAGCGGTAGTTGGTGGTGCGGTGGCTCCATCATTGGTAACGAGTATGTGCTGACAGCCGCTCACTGCACCAGCGGGTAAGTGTTTCCATCTGAAATGTAGTCATTCCACAAAGCTTATTCTATTTTACCTGCCTGTAGTGCATCCTCGGTGACCATCTACTACGGCGCTTTGGTCCGCACCAACGCCAAGCTGATCCAGACCATCTCCAGCTCCAACTTTAAGCAGCACACCAGCTTCAACTCGATCACTCTGGCCAACGATATCTCGCTGATCAAGACCCCATCCGTTGCGTTCACTGCCTACATTAACAAGGTTTTGTTGCCACCAATTGCCAGCAGCTACTCCACCTATGCCGGCCAGAAGGCTACAGCCTCCGGCTGGGGCAAAACCTCCGATAGCGCTTCCGGTGTCACTAACACCCTGCAATACCAGACCTTCGAAGTTATCTCTGTTGCGCTTTGCCAGTCCACTTATGGCTCCCTCGTAGCCTCCGCCAAGGTCATCTGCATTGCCACCCCCAACAAGTCATCCACCTGCCAGGGTGATTCCGGTGGCCCATTGGTCCTGGACAGCACTGGTCGCTTGATTGGTGTCACTTCCTTCGTCTCCAGCTCTGGCTGTCAATCTGGCCTTCCTTCTGGCTTCACCCGTGTGACCAGCTACTTGGACTGGATCAAGACCAACTCCGGCATCTCCTACTAAATTCGTTTTCAAAATAATCCACAATAAACTGAGCTCCATATAAAACAAGTTTTCCTTCTGAGCTTTAAATTTTTATACCCTGAACCCATTGAAAATGGGAAATCAGGGTATAATGGTTTTGTTGAAATGTATGTAACAGGCAGAAGGAGGCGTGGCAGACCCCACAAAGTATATATATTCTTGATCAGGGTGACGAGCTGAGTTGATTTGGCCCTGTCCGTCTGTCTGTCTGTCCGTCTGTCCGTCTGTCCGTCTGTCCGT